AGTTAAAATTCAGCAAGAATTACAGAATTCATTCGTGGGCCCTTATTTCTTTGCCCGCAATTTAAGCTTTGGATAGGATGGGTTTATAAATCCTAAGTCATAGTGTAATGCCATTCACACCCATCCATAAACAATCTGGCTGGAACTTTAGAAAAATAGATGTAAAATGAAGCTAGATTCAAAAGGGGAAAGTTGTAAGCGAAGTCAAACCGGGTCCAGTGGATTTAAACACTACTCCCTTTCAAAGTTAGTTACAATGGAGAATTCAGTTCTGCCTCGCCTTGTGGATAAAGCAAAGTAGGATGACTCCACGGACAAATTAAAAAAGAGGTCCAGTCTTGAGGTGGTGAAATGTGGAAGTATAGGTCTAGCATCGTCGAATCAAAGGTATTAGAAAATAAAGGTTCGGTAAGGGACACTGATAAAATTTCCTCCTCTTATAAAACGAGGTTTTTGGTTTTCGACAATTGTAAAGTGATACAGTCAATGACATTATGTCAAGACATCGGTCCAGGGGAACGTTAGGTACGGGTCCTTTACTAACCTTCTTTTATTTTATTAACTCTATGATTATAGGTGGCTGGTAGTATTAGCTCATGCCAGCCAGCCTGTTTGGACAGCTGTTTTTGAAACGCTTGTCTGTTGGAAAGCCTCTTTGTGTGTGGTTTTTTGTTGTTGTTGTTGTTTTGTTTTTTTCGTAGAAAGCCTTGAAGTGGATGTATTTCTAATTGCACGACTGGGAAAAATGTGTTAATGTTTCGGTTTCCAAAAGCAACGGACAGTTTAGGCTTGAAAACAATCAGAACCCTGACAGTAATATTTGCAAAGTGATGGTTTTTTTTTTTTAAAAAAAAATAGTTTGTTCTCCTATTTGAAAAAAAGAATTGTGGGTGCCATTTTTGCATGCCCTGCTAAAGGCAAACAGCAATTAAGCTTCTCTTGGAGCTTTGCCTCTAACAAGTTGACTTGGGTTTGAAAGTATCCGATCAGTTCTAAGCAGTAAAAGGTTAGAGACTGATGCTTCCCCCAAACACCTTAAAAAAATATTCCAGGATTAATGAGTGTCTGTTTTTTTCTGGACCTAACCCCCTCAGCGTAGTGCTAAGCTCCCTCTGCAATCTCTTGCCTTTTTTAACTTGCTAAGTTAAAAAATCTCTACATTAATCCGATCCTTTTGATTCTCAATGCACCTCGGTGGGAATTCTTCAGCATTTGATGTGCAAGAATCTGTTTTTGCCTTTAAAAAATAAAAATAAAAAAAAATTCTTCAGCTCTAGTTTGCAAAACTGTAGTTTTCAGTTAGGATGTGAAAGCTCTGTTGCCAGAGGAGTCGTCCTCGTGGACCTTCTCGATAACTCCTAATATCTGTCAAGGAGTTGTTTTCATGACTTCCCAGAGGGGATAGCTGCGTGAGTCTACAAAACTTGAAAAAGGGTCATCCTTTTTTCTTTTTTTTTTGCCTCAGTGCATATTCTACAAATTAAAGCAAGGGATATTTTCATGGAGCAACTCAAAAGTCAGTGTACATGGTGTGTGTCTGTGTGTGTGTGAAGCTTTTATATTGATTGCTTTACTAGGGTCTGTTTGCCACTCAGGATTTTAAGGGACAGACCAAAGCAGAAATGACATTATCTGCTTTAAAAGCTAATAACCCTCCTCATAGTCTGCCAGGACACTTCTATCAAGAGGCACATTTTTCTTCAGCCTCTCCCAATCTTAACAGTGGGAAGGCATTTACTTCGACCAGTGACCTGAAAGAAAGAAAAAAAACCATTTCCCCTTCAGGGAAAAAAATGACTTCTCCATGATTACAATTTGATCTAATGCACGTCTCCGTTCTCAGGGTGACCTGCTCTTTCCTTTCCCATTGTAAACTCTGTCCCTTGCCTTTTGCAACTGCTTGGCAGAGCGATTTCTGTTTGCTAATGCAGAACTTGTTAGAGCTTTTTCTATCTCTGGGCCTTGGAAAGGAAAATAAATGAACTCCTTCCTTCAGTGTAACTCTAGCGTCCGTGCATGGAAACTAAGAGTTGGTGCACTGAAGAATTCATTTTTAATGACCACTTTTCAGCTGGCACTGCAAATTTTACATAGAATGGATATAATGCTGGGTAACCAAAATGAAAAAGAGTCCAGAGTCACTTGGCTGAGCTGGGTGGCTAGAGGGAGGGAGGAAGGAAGGAAGGAAGAGAGAGAGGAAGGAAGAGAGAGAGGAAGGAAGGAAGGAAGGAAGGGAGAGAGGGAGGGAGGGAGGAAGAGAGAGAGGGAGGAAGGAAGGAAGGGAGAGAGGGAGGAAGGGAGGGAGGGNCATATCCAGATCGTAGCAGCTTAGTTTCCATAATCTTTTATTTCCAAGCCATTCCCTGTGACTATTTTAAAGGAGGAGAATATTTTGCTCCAAAAACCAAAAGCTGTTAACATTTCACTATGTCAGTTACTGTAATACAGTTCTGTAGCCAGGTCCCCTTGCAATCCATGCCCAGGAAATGATTGGAAGAAAATAAAATGTAACTCTATGATTATAGGTGGCTGGTAGTATTAGCTCATGCCAGCCAGCCTGTTTGGACAGCTGTTTTTGAAACGCTTGTCTGTTGGAAAGCCTCTTTGTGTGTGGTTTTTTGTTGTTGTTGTTGTTGTTTTGTTTTTTTCGTAGAAAACCTTGAAGTGGATGTATTTCTAATTGCACGGCTGGGAAAAATGTGTTAATGTTTCGGTTTCCAAAAGCAACGGACAGTTTAGGCTTGAAAACAATCAGAACCCTGACAGTAATATTTGCAAAGTGATGATTTTTTAAAAAAAATAGTTTGTTCTCCTATTTGAAAAAAGAATTGTGGGTGCCATTTTTGCATGCCCTGCTAAAGGCAAACAGCAATTAAGCTTCTCTTGGAGCTTTGCCTCTAACAAGTTGACTTGGGTTTGAAAGTATCCGATCAGTTCTAAGCAATAAAAGGTTAGAGACTGATGCTCCCCCCAAACACCTTAAAAAAATATTCCAGGATTAATGAGTGTCTGTTTTTTTCTGGACCTAACACCCTCAGCGTAGTGCTAAGCTCCCTCTGCAATCTCTTGCCTTTTTTAACTTGCTAAGTTAAAAAATCTCTACATTAATCCGATCCTTTTGATTCTCAATGCACCTCGGTGGGAATTCTTCAGCATTTGATGTGCAAGAATCTGTTTTTGCCTTTAAAAAATAAAAATAAAAAAAAATTCTTCAGCTCTAGTTTGCAAAACTGTAGTTTTCAGTTAGGATGTGAAAGCTCTGTTGCCAGAGGAGTCATCCTCGTGGACCTTCTTGATAGCTCGTAATATCTGTCAAGGAGTTGTTTTCATGACTTCCCAGAGGGGATAGCTGCGTGAGTCTACAAAACTTGAAAAAGGGTCATCCTTTTTTCTTTTTTTTTTGCCTCAGTGCATATTCTACAAATTAAAGCAAGGGATATTTTCATGGAGCAACTCAAAAGTCAGTGTACATGGTGTGTGTGTGTGTGTGTGAAGCTTTTATATTGATTGCTTTACTGGGGTCTGTTTGCCACTCAGGATTTTAAGGGACAGACCAAAGCAGAAATGACATTATCTGCTTTAAAAGCTAATAACCCTCTTCATAGTCTGCCAGGACACTTCTATCAAGAAGCACATTTTTCTTCAGCCTCTCACAATCTTAACAGTGGGAAGGCATTTACTTCGACCAGTGACCTGAAAGAAAGAAAAAAAACCATTTCCCCTTCAGGGAAAAAAATGACTTCTCCATGATTACAATTTGATCTAATGCACGTCTCCATTCTCAGGGTGACCTGCTCTTTCCTTTCCCATTGTAAACTCTGTCCCTTGCCTTTTGCAACTGCTTGGCAGAGCGATTTCTGTTTGCTAATGCAGAACTTGTTAGAGCTTTTTCTATCTCTGGGCCTTGGAAAGGAAAATAAATGAACTCCTTCCTTCACTGTAACTCTAGCGTCCGTGCATGGAAACTAAGAGTTGGTGCACTGAAGAATTCATTTTTAATGACCACTTTTCAGCTGGCACTGCAAATTTTACATAGAATGGATATAATGCTGGGTAACCAAAATGAAAAAGAGTCCAGAGTCACTTGGCTGAGCTGGGTGGCTAGAGGGAGGAAGGAAGGAAGGAAGGAAGGAAGGGAGAGAGGAAGGGAGAGAGGAAGGGAGAGAGGAAGGAAGGAAGGGAGAGAGGGAGGAAGAGAGAGAGGGAGGAAGGAAGGGAGAGAGGGAGAGAGGGAGGAAGGGAGAGAGGAAGAAAGGGAGAGAGGGAGGAAGGAAGGAAGGAAGTTGGTTGATTTTACAAGCCAGGTGAATTTAAAAAAAAAGCAGAAAGGCTGTACTAATGAGTTACCTCTCCGCTCAAAAACATTTGTCCTGAATTCTCATATTCAAGGTACTACAGCAGTAAAAATGGAAGGGTGGCCTTCAGTTTGTTGAAGATTAGAATGAATGAAGACAGAACCTTTTGGAGTGGACCTATTTATTCATTACTATTGTATCTGCTTCCTATACAAAAGCTGCTAGATTTTGGTGTTGGTTCAAAGGTTTAAGTAGGAGATGATGGGGAAATTCTTCTCTGTCGTTCACAGACAAAATGGTGCTCGAACTTTTAAGAGGAATGGACTTCAACTCCCAGAATTCCACAGCCAGTTGAAGTCGAAGTTCACCCCTTTTATAGTTGCTGAGGTTGAGAAACACTGTGCTAGATTAACAAACGATCCAGCTTGAAACTGAGATGCTGTCTTGACCCCATAGATACCAGGGAAGCCTTGTATCCATCCTACAACGAAGCCTTTGGCTGTTTTTTTTTCACCATTTCTCTTTTGAAATGTGGTTTTGTTTATTTGGAGGGCCCGGGTGTCACTTCCAAGTGCTTCCATTTGTGTTCCAGAGAGCATACTGTGGCCAATGCACTGAAAGGATATGGGGTCTTGGAAGACAAGGTTACAAGTGCATCAACTGCAAGTTGTTGGTCCATAAACGCTGTCACGTTCTTGTCCCACTGACCTGCAAAAGGCATATGGTAAGTTGGGTCCTTGCGCCAAGCTGTGACTGGACTGTGTTAAAATCAGAGCATAACAAGATGAGGTTTGCAGCTTTCAAAGCTCGCTGGGTCAGCTGATTAGTGTGGGATAAATCACACCTTGATTCATCTTTTACCGGTGAGGAAAAGAGATGATACGTATCTTAATTCTGAAGTAAGAGGAAATGGATTGCAGCCATTTTTGTCTTAAAGCTCTTTCCATGTACACACTCCAGCTTTATATGCTTTTTATTGCTCTGTGTGGTGACTCCTTGCCCCCAAAGCGCCTTAGAAAGAAATTTCTTTCGGCTTGCACTTATATGTGAAATATAGCAAAATGTGCTTATTTTACCTTTGCGTGGTAATTCATCAACGGAAAATTGGTTTGTGCTGGAGCCGTGTTGTACAGCGTTTGCCACCGTCTAGTTGGCAAGGCAATTCTTGGTGAATTTCCTGTTTGGTCTTCAAGACAGCCAGACGTTTACTTGCCTTTTTTTGAGCCTTCACAGATCCATATTCTTACAGGATTCTGTGATGCCTTCCCAGGAACCTCAATTAGACGATAAGAATGACGAAGCTGACGTCCCTCCAGAAGACACAGACGGAAGTGAGTGTGGCTTTCCTCTCAATCTAGACTTCTGAAAGTCTAGATCCATTTCAGGGACACACACATCCCGTTTGTCATTCTTAAACTTGAAACATCCCCAAGGACCATGACTAATTGATAGGCTTCTCCAGGGGGGACAGCTGTGGAACCACTTGCAAGCCCAGTGGAAAAATCAATTCTTTGTAATAAAGGTTTATTCCTGAATTTATTCAAGGGCTGTTAATCAGTGTGGTATGGTAGTTAAAGTGTTAGATTAAGAATGCGGAGATCCAAAGGTCTAGTAGTCGATCCTCAGCCACAGTCAGTTTTGGTCAAGGAGGCCGATGGGGAGATAGGTGAAATAATATAATACACTGCCTTCAGCTGGGTCAGGGGCAGGCAACCTTGGCTCTTCTATGACTCGTGGACTTCAACTCCCAGAATTCCTGAGCCAGCCATGCTGAGGGGAAAGGGAGAGGTTTCTAAGCTGAGCCATGCCGGCTCAGGAATTCTGGGAGTTGAAGTCCACGAGTCATAAAAGAGCCAAGGTTGCCTACCCCTGAACTAATGGAGAAATTAACATAGACCGGTTACTTTAACTCTTTGATCCCTAAGTTCAGTGAAATACAGGTAGTTCTCGCTTTAATGATCATAATTGAGCCCAAAATTTCTGTTGCTAAGCGAAACAGTCATTAAATGAATTTTGCACCATTTTATGACTGTTCTTGCCGCCATTGTTAAATGAATCACCATATCTTTGCTATTTGATATAAAAAATGCCGATGGGTTTTATTTTACAGTTCTGTTTTCTATGTTTTCTCCTGCAGTATCTTATATTTCTTCGACTCGGAAACACGACAATATTAAAGATGACTCTGAGGTGAGTCTTATTTTTCAGTAGAACATTAATAGAGCCCTCTGTTTAGGCCCATTAGACAAAGTATGTTTTAGATTCTCCTTGCTGTTACATGTGGGCTTCCAAAGTCTTACACTCCTGGAGTTCTGGATGCGCCATCATTTGAGGTCTTCGAAAATAGACTGGGCCGCCATTTGACCAGGATGGGTATAAGGCCTCCTGCTTGAGCAGGGGTTAGACTAGAAGACCTCCAAGGTCCCTTCCAGCCCTAGGATTCTATGTTCATTTGCAGTAATCTTAGGCCATTCTGGGTTTCCAAGTTCAGAAACTGGCTTAATTTCAGAATTTAACAGTTGCTCCATATCCGAAATGGGTCACAATTAAATTTGATATATTATTATTATTAATAACAATGGTGTGTTTTTCCATTAAGAATTATAATTGAACTCAACTTCAAGTCTCTCATATACTTTAAGCATGTTTGTGAGGAAACATATAGAACAGGGCATTCAGTGATGAAAACCTTTTGTTAAGAAATGTGTCTTTAATGGCCACCTGAAAGCTCAGAAAAGATAGCCAGGGGATTTCTCCAGGCCAGGGGTCCTGTTGTGTGAGTTTTGTGATGGAAAAGGTCCTATTTTTAGCTGTGTAGTGATAACAGAACAGGAAACCAGACCATAAAGCTAATAGTAGCAATCAAGTATGATTTTTGAATAAGGACATCCTGAGATTCTGATACTAAAACGCTCAATTATTTAAAGGTCATCTCCATCCCTGTAAATCAAGCTAGAAAATTATGAATCTTACTGTCTCAGTATCACAATTACATGATTGGATAGGGTGATGTTGGTATTGAACTGGTATTGAATTCCATTTTCACTACACGCTTCCCATTCCATTACCCTTTGTAAATTACACTTTTGCCAGATCCATTGATTTTTATTTTTATTTTAGAAAAGTAATTATACCTAAGAAGGCAGTGTGGTGGGCCTCAGTGATAGGAGCTGTGCGTGGCTGAGGAATTCTGGGAGTTGAAGTCCACAAGTCGTCAAAGGGCCACGTTTGAAGACCCCTGGACTAGAAGGCCTCCAGGCTCCCTCCCAGCTCCATTATTCTATGTCCTATGTTCCTTTTCTGATTGCAAAGAAGTTTTTTGGGGGGGAACTTCATAATGTTCTTTCTTCCATACTTCTTCCTGTAGGAACTCAAGCCAGTTATTGACGGGATGGATGGGATCAAGATCTCTCAGGGGCTTGGCCTACAGGACTTTGATCTGATCAGAGTCATTGGACGAGGAAGCTATGCCAAAGTTCTTTTAGTCCGGTTAAAAAAGAATGATCAAATTTATGCAATGAAGGTGGTCAAGAAGGAATTAGTCCATGACGATGAGGTAAGAAACTGCTTCAACACCTCACAAGCCTAACCTGGATTCTACAGGGTGGGGGGGAGGGGGGGCGGTATCTATATTAATACGATTAAAACTTCCAGCCTTCGCCAAAACCCAACATGAAACAGTTTCTATTTTGACCAGTCCCCCCTCCCCCAAAAAAGCAAAATAATATATGGCAGTGTTTCTCAACCTTGACAATTTTAAGGCATGTGGACTTCAACTCCCAGAATTCCACAGCCAGCAATGCTGGCTGTGGAATTCTGGGAGTTGAAGTCCACATGCCTTAAAATGGTCAAGGTTGAGAAACACTGATATATGGGAAGATTAAAAAAAGATTATAGGAGGAATGAGAAACCTGGGAGTGGACTTTATGAATGTGTATTAAAAATTTTGAGAGTGTGCGCTTGTGTTAATGTGTGGCTTTCGGTGTTCGATTGTCCGCAGCCTGTTTTGGATTCTCCAATTGCTCTCTTTCAGGATATCGATTGGGTGCAAACCGAAAAGCATGTCTTTGAGCAGGCATCCAGTAACCCTTTTCTAGTTGGTTTACATTCCTGCTTTCAAACAACAAGCCGGTAAGTGAGCAGATCTTCCACTTTTTTTAAAAAACAACAACAACTCAAATACTCCTTGCCTGGATCTTAATGGACCTGCGTGTCGGGGCCTGGAAGCCTCTGAAGAATGCATGGCGTTCTCTTTTGTTGACGTGTCTGCAACCCTCTTGCTTTGCGCTTAGAATCGGGGGATCGTAGCATGCTAGGTTCGAAAGGAACCTTGGTAGCAATAGCACTTAAGACTTATATGCCGCTTTACAGCCTTCTCTAAGCGGGTTACAGAGTCAGCCTAATGCCCCTTAACAATCTGGGTCCTCATTTTACTGACCTCAGAAGGGTGGAAGGCTGAGTCAACCTTGAGCCGGTGAGGTTCGAATTCCTGGCAGTCGGCAGCGTTAGCCTGCGAGACTCCGTTCTATCTACTGCGCCGCCATGGCTCTTAAGCATCTTGTCCGATTCTTGCCCAGTGTGTGGGAATCCACCAATGAAGCAACCACGGCAGATGGCCTCTCATCCTCCCTTTAAACATCTCCAGTTGGCACCTCCTAAGACTGGCAGTTCAGTATAGCACAGCTCTTATGGTTAAGAAATTATTCCTGATTAGTCTTAAGCCCTAGTTTGTTGCCTTGTCTTCATGAGCTATCCCAGGTCAGGGAGGCTGGTAGGTCCAAAAAGAATGGGGGTAATGTTTTTCTTCTGGAAAACAATGTTTGTGTCTGGCATGATAGCACCTTCCAGAACTTCTGGCTCTTCTTCTGTCCTGGACATGATCCAAGAATGAGCTCCCGCTCTCAAGTCACTTTGGTGGCAGAATTATGTGAAGGACTTCCTGCACAGTGTCTTCTAGACCAGGGGTCTTCAAACTTGGCCTTTTTATGACTTGTGGACTTCAACTCCCAGAATTCCTCAGCTAGTGTGCCTGGCTGAGAAATTCTGGGAGTTGAAGTTCACGTGTCATAAAAGGGCCAAGTTTGAAGACCCCTGTTCTAGACTCTTTGTAGCTCAGGGTTGAACTATGGGGTCCTTGGTGCTCTCTGAGCTTGGCTGTTCTCTTACAGACAAGTGTCATCACCAATAATGTGACCTAGTTGGGTAATGAAACACACCAAGGGCCCCATAGCTTCTTCCCTAGTGGGAAGAGCCCACGCTGAATTAATCCTATTTAAGAGAGGTGAGAAGGCCCCCTTCCAGTCAATCTCAGTTTTTGGTGCTCTTCCATTCCAAGGACTAACCCTGTCGGACCCTCCTTTCCTTGGTGATAATCAGTCAAGGTCAACTAGACTTCCCGATTAAGGAGCAAAAACACACTAGAAGTAGCTAGGAAGACTATCTCCACGAAGCCCAAGGTCATCATTCTGCATTGCTTTGTCTCCAGAAGCCAGTGGAAGGATGGGGGGTGCCAACAGCCCCAACCTGTTTAGAAAGAGAGGGAGGATATTTAGAATTGCAGAATTTCCCCTACCAGCCGGAGGGAGGCTAGCCGTAACTTGATTGATCTGTTGATCCCAAAACAAAGACTTTAAAAAAACCCGTTGTGCACATTTAACAAATCACCAAAGAGGCTAGTAATGCAGACAATTAAAAGGCTCTTAGTTATTTCTCTTTTTTAGAGGCTGTGTTGGCATGGGTGTGAGAGTGTTTATTTATTAATGGGGGCTTCTATTACATCAGGGGAGCCTCGTTGCACACCATTTAGATGGATAAACAATTTTTGGCTCTTTTAGGAGCGTAGTAAATTTGAACTGCTTTTACGCTCTAATGGATTTTTCCCCTTGTCTGCGCTGGCTGAAAACCTCAGGGTTGTCGTCTTTTTTTTTAACCATATAATCAAAACATTCCAGGCGACATTTCTTGTTAGTTAAAAAAATAATAATAGGAATGTCTTTAGTTATCTCCCATTGTACAGTTTCTGAAGATTAGAAAATCCTTTCCCAAATAGCTAATTTGTAAACAGCTTTGAGATCGGTCTAAGAGTTAAAGAGCTAAAGAGCAGCTGGTGACTTGATTCTTATTTTGAATGTTGAAGTTTCAACAAGCACCCTTCTCAACTGGGCTTGGCCTTTGTGTGTGTGTGTGTGTGTCTGATGACACAATATTTCATGCTCCAATTCAAAAGTAATACAATTTTTTTTTGGGGGGGGGGATCTCCATCTTTCTAATGACCATTGACAAAGATTCAGTGACAAAGATGTGTGCAATTGCCAGATTGTTTTTTTTTTAATTATGTATTTTGCATTTGTTTCTGCTGTGGGGGGGCGACACCATTATCCCATTTGAATTTGTGCGTCCCTTAAATTTCATTGTCAGCTTACGGCTACCTGACTAATTGAGGCATTTATTAAGTGAGTTTTGTCCCATTTTACGACTCTCCTTGCCACATTTGTTAAGGGAATCCCTGCAGTTGTTAAGTTACTCAGTTGTTAAGTGAATCTGGCTCTCCCCCCCCACCCCCCGTTGACTTCGCTTGTCAGAAGGTCACAAAAGGTGACCTGCAAATGTCGTAAATATGAATGCGAATTTCGATCTCGAAATCATGAAGATGCTGCAACGGTCATAAGTATATAAACTGGTCCTCGGTCCCTTTTTTCAGGGCTGTTACAACTTTGAATTGTCACTCAAGAAATAGTAGTTGTAAGCTGAGGACCTCCTGTACTACTTACCAATTTAATTTGGTGTATTTAGTGTTTCCTTGAACCTGCGGGAAAAATGCTAGAATGGTGATGAGTGTTTCCCTTGGAATTTTTTTTGGGGGGTGGGGATATAATATAAGTCTGGATTGAGCTCCCCAGTGGACTTTTTTCTTATTTAGAGAAAGGATAATCTTGACTCCTTGAATGGGAAAAATAAAATAAAAAACACACTTCCTTTTGCTGTTCCTCTCCCTCCCGCCATCCTTCCAGCTGGATGTCCTGGGAAAATAGTGATCATGAGGACGTGAGGGGTGTTTGGTGCAGAAGCATCTCCAGGACCCAGCCCTTTTTCTCCAAACGACAAAAGCAACATTGCAGTGTCATCTCGCAAACTCCACCTCGTTTAGAGCGTGCGGTATTATGAGGCACACACACACACACACAGAGACACAAAGCAAGGGTGGCGTTTACAGCTTGTTAGCAGCGACGCAATAATTTTGTCTGTTCGCTCCCACCCTCACTCTGCAGGCAATCTGCTGACTAACAGAAATTGTGTGTTCTATTTTCAGGTTGTTTCTTGTTATAGAATATGTGAATGGGGGTGACCTCATGTTTCATATGCAACGGCAGAGGAAGCTGCCAGAGGAACACACAAGGTAGTGTGGATCTATTCTTCCTTCCTTCCTTCCTTCCTTCCTTCCTTCCTTCCTTCCTTCCTTCCTTCCTTCCTTCCTTCCTTCCTTCCTTCCTTCCTTCCTTCCTTCCTTCCTTCCTTCCTTCCTTCCTTCCTTCCTTCCTCCTCCTCCTCCTGTCTCTCTCTCTCTCTCTCTCCTCCTTCCAGAGAAGTGAAATTACATTTTCCTTTCAGGTTTTATGCTGCTGAAATCTGTATTGCTCTCAACTTCCTCCACGAAAGAGGCATCATATACAGAGATTTAAAACTGGATAACGTGCTCCTGGATACAGAGGGCCACATCAAGCTAACAGATTACGGCATGTGTAAGGTAAGTTGGCTTTCCAGATTAAGGGAATCTCTTGACCGGCCTCCCCAAGGATCGGAATCCGATTGTGTAAGGTGGGCAAGATTGAAGACGGCTTCTTGTGTTGGGGAGCCAGACAGACAAATTGACCCAGACAGGAAGGGGAGTATCTAGAACAATTGGTGAGGACAGAGAAGGTCCACAGCCGATCAAGCGTCAAGTCATCCTTGACTTACAACAACAGTTGTGCCCAAAACGTCTGTTGCTAAGCAAGACAGATGTTCAGCGGGTTTTGCCCCATTTTACAACCTTTCTTGCCACAGCTGTTTTAAGTGAATCACCGCAGTTGATAAGTTAGTAACACGGTCGTTAAATGAATCTGGCTTCCCCCATTGACTTGGCTTGTCAGAAGGGGATCACATGACCCCGGGACACTGTCACCGTCATCCATTGGAGTCAGTTGCCAAGCGTCTGAATTTGGATTATGTGATGCACAGCAGTCTTCCATTTTTATTTTTATTTTTTGTAGGAAGGATTGGGCCCCGGCGACACTACGAGCACTTTCTGTGGCACGCCAAATTACATTGCCCCGGAGATTCTCCGAGGAGAAGAATACGGTGAGTTGGTATATAGAGCGTGTAATTATGTAGGGGCTGCAAAGCGTTTGCCTTCTCATCTGGAGTGATTACAGACACGCCTGTTTGTTGATGTTAATGTCTTTACGCCATTAAGCAGAGGTCAGTCTCAACGGAAGTTCCTTGTTATGATCTGGAGCAGAAAAGAGTGGAGCACTGTTCAAAATGGAGAAGGATGGAGTAACTGGCCTGCGTCCCTACTTTGTGGTGGAGGTTAAGTGGTCGTATGCTTGAAGGCGCCCCTGAATTAATTTTGAGGGAACCTCAGATGATGAACTTTGGAAGGCTGGTCAACGTGGAATGCCCTTGGCCAATAAATTATTGCTAAGCCTAATGGTGTTTTATGGAACTTCATACCATTGCTACCACATTTTCATTGTGAAAAACTAACTGTGTTAGTCCTTAATTACGTCGTATGGAGCATATCGCGTCCCCTTTGGTCATTTATCCTTTTGGGACATTCCGATTACACAAACCAAAGTTGAGTGTCGGAAAATAGGATTAAAATAACTGGGTTGGAGACATTTCTGATAGCCACAATACTTACAGAATTGACACCGGTCGTTGGGTTTGAATTTTTAAGCAATTCCAAAAACCCTTAATTTTATCCTGTTGCTTTGAACCAATCGTTCATGATATTGTGGCAAAGGACATCTGAATTAATTTTTTTGTTCTCGTTTTTATGTTCCCCATTACACACACAGAACCCTTACACCACTAAAATCTTCTCTGGAGAGTGCCTAATTTCATTAATTAATTTGTTCATTCATTCATTCATTCATTCATTCATTCATTTTCTATAGCCACCTATCTCAATCAATGACTCTGTCTAATCCTTAAAACCTGTTCTGTATGTTAAATCAGAAAGTGTCCGCTCTGAAACCTGAAGTCTTTTATTGAACGCATCCTTTTTCTAATTTTGTTTTTTACAGGATTCAGTGTGGATTGGTGGGCCCTTGGTGTCCTCATGTTTGAAATGATGGCCGGAAGATCTCCTTTTGATATTATTACCGACAATCCAGATATGAACACTGAAGATTACCTCTTCCAAGGTATTTTTCTGTGGGATGAGACTGGCAGATTAGTATCCAACACTTGCCAGAGTGTTAAAATTCAGAATGAAGTTTCACTCAAGAGCAGAATAAAAATTGCAGGATCCAACCTGGGTCAGTCGCTGGGACCCACTGGAGCCCATCCTCAGGGAACCAGCAGAGTATGTGCTGTTGTATGTCTGGTATTTATATGGTGCCTGTTGTATGTGGCTTTTTAGATGGGGGGGTGTTGATGCAGCATATAAATAGCACACACACTGCTAAAAAGAAGTTCCTTGGGGATGGGCTCCAGCATCTTCCAAAAGCTCGGAAGACTAAGACCAGATTGGATCTTGCAACAAGTGGGTCTCCTCAGGGTGCCGTCGGCCAGACAGTGCCGGCTGGCGACCCCAAGGGGGAGGGCCTTCTCTGTGGGAGCTCCCACCCTCTGGAATGAACTACCCCCAGAGATCAGGGTGATCCCTGATCTCCCTTCCTTCCGCCGCGCCCTTAAGACATGGTTATTCCAGCTTGCGGGACTGGCCTAGGGGAAAATTTTT